AAATCCACTCAAACATGTCTCTCTTTAGGCCAAAAGTCACATTGGTTGCCTTTTCCCAAAACCTAACCCTATATAAACTAAAACCCTAGTCATGTCACTTCATCTTCTCCAAATTCCAAATTGCTATCACCAGTTTCTTTTTTTATCTTTTCATCTCCTTCAAATTTTCATCTCTCTCACATATATAACCATCCATCATACCATCCTATCTCCATAAACCAACACCATCACTCCATTATAAGCCACCAAAGAACCTCTCTTTGACCACTCACTCCTAAATAAAGAATCGTTATCCTTTTTCACCCAAAACTAACCAAAGACAACAATTTCTACTTCAAAGATAAGGGAAAGAAAGTGACCTAACCGGAAAAGAGCAACCATCGAAAGATTACGACTTAATAGGAAGGTATCTATCCCGATCTTACCCTAGAATTGAGTTTGCAAGTAAAGCTCAAAAATTCTATTATAATTTCTTGAAGAATAGAAGAATTGTGTCAAATAGGTATGTGGATATTCAAGCACTAGAAATAGTGGGCTTGTTGAGAGAAGTAAGGAAGCTGCTAGAAAGTATAGAGTGGCTAAGCTTGTTAAAGATGGATGCTTCTTCCAATGAAGAATTGACCTTGGAGTTCTTAAGCTCGTTTCAATTAGAAATGTTAAGGAAAGATTAACAACAAGTTTATGATTATTTTACATTCATGATAGCACATAAGAAGTGTAGCATTGATGTGCAAACCATAGTGGATATGTTCGAGTTGGTCATATAATGGTGAAAAGCAACCACTTATTGGGTTGAGAAGCCATTTTAGAGAGAAAACATAATTTCATAACAGGAGGTGTATAATCCATCATGATTAAAAGTTTCAACAATCACAAACCTCGCTTTTTGATATATACATCGTATATTAACATAGATATTATGTGGTAGAGAAAACGAGTAATGGGGTGGTGAGCAAGTTAGAGTTAACAATTTGGTTCTTCATCACCCATAAGGTGAAGGTAGAGTTTACCTATATTCCGGTCGATCTCTTCTTGATAGTCAAGAAATTGATCGACGATAAAATTATCATGGGTGGATTCATCACCTATACTCGTAAAGAAAGTGAGGATGTTCAATAGGAACACCATGACCTTAACTCAAGCAAAAAGGTTCGAGCACATGACCCTTAAGAAGTTGATTAAAATCGAGTTATTGAAAAAAAAAGAAAAAGATATTTCAACCGACCAACCTAGAGATAGAGACGAGAGGTAGAAAGTGATAGTAATGGAGAGGGCGATGATAAGGCACACCCCGTAGCCAAAAAGGTTCCACAAACAGGTGCCTCGAGTGGCTATTCAAAAGGTTAGAGTAATCGGCATCATGATTGGATGACCTTTAGCTCAATGTCAATAGTCGATTTGATGTATTTTATGAGTAGGTTCGGACCATGAACAACAATGCCAACAATCGATTTGATTAGTTGAGTGAGCAAATTCGAGCGATAAACAATAATGTCATATTTAGATGTCACATGGTCAATGCCTAGATTGACCACCTCTATAATGCCTTCATGGCACATTTTCCATCACCGTCACTCGCCTTCATTCCGAAAACGACCATCTAGATTTGCTTTCTTATCCCGTTATTTTTATTTTTTATTGATGCTATTTTAATTTGATAATCTATGTACACAATGAGGACAATGTCCAATTCAAGTATGGGGTGCATTTAGCATTTAGGTGTTTATTGTTTTTGTGTTGTTTTATCTAATTCGTATGTTTATTTTATACCCTTAAAAATATTTTAAAAAATGTCATATTTAGTATGATGTTCTTCTTAATTGATGTTTAATGATGAATTTGATGAAATTCGATAAGGTGAATGACAATGTTTGGGATATTATTGTTATAGATATACATGTGTGTTAGAAAGCTTTATGTGTCTTCATGATGGAAAATGATTTAGGTAGAAATAATGATTTTGAAAAAAAAAGAAAACCATTTGGAAACTAGACCTAAGCATGGTTTAAATAAATGGGATTTTCTAGTTTTTATGGAAATTTGAGAAAAAAAATTGAAAAGCATTCCACTAGAAAAATTTGGCCTAATTAAGTAAAAAATTCTACTCGATGATTTGAGTTCGTTGAGTAACTAGTAGTATTTATCAAAATATTTACTTTTATGTTAAATGACAATTCAAATTATGAGTATACAAAACACTCTAGGTTGATGACTTACTAAGTAACTAGCTACCTTCATCACAAATATTGATAGTCACGTCAAAAGGCAAGTAATCACTTAGGAAAAAGCTATTAAGGTCATGAAACAAAAAAGAATTTATGATGCTTAAAATAGAAAAATTTTTATTAAATAAAATCTTGGTCTATTGTTTTGCTTGTGGTGGTGCAAAATAAGGTAAAGATAAAGTTCGGTGTTACATGCCCGAATTATGCTTGGTTATGAAGATGCACAAATTAATTTAGAGACACGTATTAATATGATAATAATATCTTGAATATTATCGAGTTGACTATTGAATTTTGTTGAAATATGAATTGAACATCAATGTTGAAGACTATCATACTGGCATGACATTTGTTTGAATGATTTTGTGGGTTTATCATCGTAAAACCCTCATGAGACATAACTCATCCACTAGGGATAACCTAGGGGTCTAAAAACTTATTGCATATGCTAAATGCAACCATGATTCCTATGAAAGTGAGTTAAGTTTTTATTTTGTTTGTTTGTTTGAGGACTAACGAAGTTAAGTGTGGGTGTATTTGATGAGTACATAATTAGCATGATTTTTATGCTCTATTACATAGAACTTTTTTATGTTTATTGTACTATATTGTGCTATTTATGAATAAGATGATGATTTCAAATTTTTTAGGAAAAATAACAAATTAAAATAAAGAAACTTAAAACCGAAGCAAGGAAAAGAGAAAGCTTTAAAGAGGCTTAGAAGAGTCACAAGGTCGTATGAAATAAAAAGAAAAAAGCTACTAGTTGTGTGACATTAAGAATGAAAGCTGTGTGGATTGCTCAGCAATACAAGCCAATGGGTAGTAGCATTCCACACGACCAAAGGAAAAAATCTCACACAATTGTATTGGTGTCTCAGCCTAGCAAAGCTTAAAAGAAAAGAAGGCCACATTGGTAGAAGATGTTGCACACGATTTATAGTGCAAAGTCACATGCTCATGTCTTATAAGCAGAACTCCGTCCGCACGAGTAGAAGAGATTCAACACAACTTGAAGATAAAAGTCTATACGAGCGATAAGGAAGTAACATGGAATGAAGAACAAAGGCACATGATTGTGTGCCCTAGTTCGCAAACCATGTAACACTTATTTTTTAAGACTCCAAACCGGGTAACATTAACCAACAAACCATGTAACTTATTTTATTAACTCGAATGGCCATATGGAGTCGACACATATGTGATATAACCTTAATTTTAGGTATAATTTGTAAAGCTAGGGCATTATTTTGGGATTCCCACCTTTGAGTAGCCAACATTCATAGAAAACTCTCTCTTTATAATCCATTATGAGCAACTAAACTTTATTCTTCATTGAATCAAATTGAAGCTTTTGGTTAATCACTTGTGAGATTATAGGTTTTATTTCTAAACTTATCTTATTTGAGTATTTTATGTTTTTCTGCATGATTAGTTTAAAATTGTATGATTAAATTGGTTAGAGTGCATGCTAGTTGTTTAGTCATATTAACCTATTGCTAGCTAAGTATTTAAGTTTGTGTAATTGCTTGTCTAAACTTGCCTATGGTAGTAACTAGGGGTTGATGAATATTTTTTACGTTTTCATTCAATTCCTTAGAAAACATAAAACTAGGCTACATCTTTTCAAGTGCTTAGGAAGGTGGCTTAATTTCACTTATCTTTCTTTGATTAATGATGTTGGATTAAATCTATCTAGCACACGATAGGTTGTTCAATAGTCGAGAAATTAATCGGATATCGTATATTTGGTTAATGATTAAATAAGGAAAGACTAGGGACAACATATATGTTATTATCTTATAGTGAATATTCATGTGTAGGATAGGTTAATTATTTAATTAATGATCAGCAATCAAACTAAAAGTAGATACCGAAATTCAACCAAGGCTTATTTAATAGTATTATTTCTTATTACTTTCAATTGTTTCCAACCATTCCAAACATAGACCCTCATTTTTACATTATAAGAATACTTAAACAAAAGAAACGATTCATTTAGTCTCTTTCCTTATGGGTTTGAACCTTACTAGCCCTATCTATACCCTTACATTTAGGTTACGTAAGGAAAATATAAATATCTAATTTGTTAACGGTACGACACATCATCACAATATGACCAATGAGTAGTGCATGACGGATTCAAAAATATTTGTTCATTTAACTTTGAGAGAGAGAAGATAGTTCTAATGCCTATGAAGATGGAACTAATGCCTAGGAATATTGGAGGGGAATTCATTTATGAATGAATGTTCCTTAGAGTATTAAAAGAGCATGATAAGGCCAAATAAAAGGTTAATAAAGTTTATTCTTTAGATTTTAAAGACACTCCAAATTCTAGTGAGAGGGTTGATGTTCATGCTGACCTTGACGACACTCGTAGACACCAAAAATTTCAATGATAAGGTCAAATTTATTTTTACCATTAATGTGTCACCCAAGTATATGATCACAAAATTTATGACTTTAAAGTTCCGTAAAGATACGGACACAACAAGAATATAGCTAGACCAACCATAGTTGTTATTGTTGAACAAAATCCATATGATGATGCTGCCCTAAAAACCAATTCAATAAGTTATAAAGATTTTTTTCAAAACAAAAACAATCCATGATCCTCTATGGTTATCTCAAGGGGATTTGCATTCTTAAGGAAACACTATTGGAATTATCAATGATCAAAGTGTTCAAACTAATAAGAAACATGTTATCGTCAAAATGAATTCTTCATTTTTATATAATAATTGTTAAAGCCAATAAATAATAGTAGTGAAGATAAAAGCCATGAATGCCGATCCTTTTAAGCTTCTACCTCCGGATGAATCAAGAAAGGAAGAATTACTTGATGTTGTGAAAGAGGAGGGAAAAAATTATCCAAAAACATTAATCTCTAGCGTGATTGGAAGGAAGAACGATAGAGACATTCGTTAATTGACATACTACATATGCTAGATGAAACTGTCATTATTGCCGCAACCATTATGAATAAATCAATAACTACTAGAAGACTTACTAGACATGTTTAAGAGGCTAAACCAATCGTTGAAGTAGTGCGTCGAGACTTGCTAGAAGTTATTGTCGCTTTAAACAAAGATAATTTGTTGTTGTTATATTGGCACTACTACTACTATAACTACGACTTTTGTTGCAACTACTTCTTTTCGAATAAGAAGCTTAAAACGAGTAGCTAAATTTAGGCTATGCAGGAAACAATGGTGAAGTCTGGAGAGGCTGAAAAAGAAGTTAGAAGCCAAAAACATTATTGAAAACGCTCGAGTAACTAAGTTCGCCAAAAAAACTTTGCTATTACCAACAAGGAAGGCATGTTGTTATTTTTACTATTGCTACTAACGAAGAGCAATGCAACGACCTTGTTATCCGGAACACTTGGTCTGCAGATGAGGGAAGTATGTTTTTATAGAATGAAAAAAAGGTCGCGCATAGAGCTTGACATAATTGAAGATGCATGAACACGCTAAAAACCACAAAGCTTTTGACACTTTAAGTAAATTCAAGCAAAAGTCCGTGATAATCTTGATTAAACACAATGAAAGTGCCTTTGAAGGTATGAAAGCCCCAAGACTTTTTTCCTGAATGTTAGGGAAGAGAAAAGGCCACTACTTGCAAGAACTCTAATGGCTTCTCCTCCCAATTACGGATTAAAAGCGAAGTAGCCACCATCCCTTCTATGGCCTTCGTAGCCTAAAAGTGTCCTCATCCTTCACGATGATCATTGGGAGCACAACCTTTTTAGCGAGTAGGTGGAGAAGTACTTTTCCTTCCCATTAATAAGGAATCAACCTTCTTCTCCAAGAAATGTATGAAAGAGCTCCCCACCTTTCTCAACACCATAGGTCACCACATGCCTCATGGCCAACCATTCACCCCTGCATCTCTAATGGGCAACTTCTCATCCGCAATTGGCTTCATCCCAAAAACAAAGGCCGGCGAAGAGGATGGAGCCCTATCCTTAGTAATATTCTCCTCCAAATAAGCTTAAAAACACATTCGGAAGACTAAATATAAGAGAATTAATGCAATACATTAATGTCCATTATAAAACATACAACTCCATATCCACCAAACCTAAGTTAGGTCCTTAAGTCATGGCATAGAGAATTATCTAAACATGTAGGTTCAAAATCCCTTAAGGACAACAACCTTCCACAAGATGGGCCGCCCTTTAGGGAAAACTTAGGAAACCTCATCCATTATCATTAGGAGGGACAAATTATTTAATAAAGATTCTCTAATTATGACATCAATCAAATCAAGACTCATCATGATAAGTACTAATGTTGTCACGGATCAAAGAAAATAATAATAGAGCATCACCATTTATCGGTTTAACCATTAACATCAAAAGAAAATGATATTCTTGTTCTTTTCATCATGCAAGTTAGACTCACAATTGTTTATATAGAGGCTTAAACCACCAAAAGGTGATGGGTTTCAACCTCTCACTCAAAAATAATTCCAAAACAAGTTATGCATCCTTTACAATTCTCTCTCATATTTAAGTTACTTACAAATAGTTAAATACTTTCTTTAAAAGAGTTTTTTCAAGTCAATTCATCACTTTAACTTAATTATTGAAGGGTCCTTCACTCGAAACAAGGAGACTTATTTTGCGGGTATAAAACGCATAGAAAACATCCACCACTCTCGATGGTCATTAGATCATCATCAATGTCTACATAAGCCATTGTTTCATAATTTTACTAGACGAATCAACAAATTACTCATCAAAACAACCTTAAAAGGTTTTAAAGAAAACCCTAAAAAGGGTCATACCATTATATATTAACCATTTGGAAAGTGGAGGTATAAAAGGAAAAAAAAATTGGTATTGAGGTAGCATTGTAACAGAAGAGTGATCAAGCTGATATGTGATTTGGCTTCTAAAAATTAATGATGAGCTGGGAAATGCCACTAATTTGGCAGATATATAGACTTGTTGGTCAAAGTCAAAAGTTGTAGCAGCAAAACATATATACGAATTTCGTACACTCAAGAAACAAAAATATTTTTGAGGCTGAGAGTAATCTCATTAACAAACTCACCTTCGAGCTCTTGGAGCTTACTCTGCCAGAAAGAATAAAGGGGGAGAACCGACTCATCATAGAAGCTTCGCTTCCTGTTTAAGTTAACATTTATTAAAAGTCATGCCAAATACATTTTCATAGTATATGATTTGCCATGTGCAATCTAAAATTCATTTGTCTTAGATATTAATAAATAAAATTATAACTTAGATGAACGTAGATTACTTTATATATGGTGCCACGTGACATAAGTGGCTAATTCACTTTCATTTAGTAATAATAATAAAAGAAAAAAAAATTGTCAGCATCATGAAATTGAAGAAATCAAATAAGGACTAATGTGTGAGCAAGGTAAGGTCAGTGAATGTCGTTTGAGAAACAAGAATGTGTCAATGTGGTCGTATTTCACTTGAACCCAGAGGAAGCAATTCAGCTAGTCCAGTAAGTTTTAGTTTTGAATTTGGATTACTCCTCCCATGAAGCAATGGTATCGATGGATATAACTTATCAAAGTATTGGAGTTTGGTGGTTTTACATGCCCATCCTTCGCATATTCATAGGCCAAATCCTTTTGTGCTAACTTAACTTCAGAACGAACAATACCAACCCATGTAAATCCAAATTCAAAACTGACAGGGAAACTCCTTAGGTACCACCTAGCAACACAGGATGAACACAACAAAACTAGAGCCATCTTGAACTTATTAGCTCTGAAGAATGCCTTCAAAACATGTTGAAAGAAAAATAAATCAGCCTGACGGGCACAAGAAAAGTACATCCTGCGTGAAACCCATGGTGAAATAAACAGTCTATGTAGTTGCAGCAACTCGTGTATTCAGAGCTACAAAGGAGAAGCCTTTTTACCTCAAAATAGTGCAGCAGTTCAGTGATATTATTAGCAGGATTGCCTACAATTGAATACTAGAACGATGTAGCATCTTTACACATGATTTACTTTCCTTCCATAAGCAACATGCATCTATCACCTGTATGTTCTAGCATTTCAATGGAGACGGCGAACAGGTAAAGGGATAAGGAGGATATAGGAGTTGATAAATAAAACCAAATAGCAAAAATGCTCTAAAAATCTGAAGTCATTACATGGCAATTGCAGCTGATCTTGTTTGACTACAAATTGAATTACAGTGATACAACTATGATGTTATTCCCCCTGTTCAGTTTGAAAAGCTTTCTTTCTTTTTGCGATTGTGTTCTTCCAGTCCTTCATATGGAACAAAAACAATGGGCAAGATCTATGATACAAAAATAAAAATTAAAAGCCACCTTGTTTTTTTATTTTTTTCCCCTAACAGCATCAAAATACAATATGTGGCTTTAAGTATATTTTGTATACAGCTAGCCTGGAAAGATGTACCAGGAATAAAATCTGTTTAAACTGGTGAAGTTATTCCTTTGCAAATCAAATTGAGCAGTCATCTAATGAATTGCTGGCAACAGAAACTGCATGCTTCAAATATCTTGCAGTCGTTGCAGTCGAAGTTTGATACTCATATTCTATCTGTTTAGGTGGACAGCACCAATTGGAAAAAGTAACTCCCCTAGAAATGAGATAAATTATAAAGGCAACATATGCACCTGTAAAAGTGCATACTAACATGGTAAACACTACTCCAGTCACTTCATTGGAGAAAAAGTCAAGCAAAAGGTAACCATTGATTAGTATCACCAGGGCAGCCACAAGCCAAGAAACCATCTGCAAAGGGGGTAAAACGGTCCAAACAATGCATCACTTCGTTGAACTAAATAGGAGACAGAAAATAGACCACTCAGTAACAAGCACCACTACTCAACAGCAGGATATGATTCCAAGAGTGTGGAATAAATGAAGGTAACAATCCATATTTTTTCATCTTCTGCATCCTTAAACAGATATCTTTTGAACTAATTTCACCATCCCCACGAATGAACTATTTCATGATATATAATCAACAAGATACCATCACCAATAAGTGTCACCAGTGTAACATAGTTGATGACACTGTTTATGAGAATTGCATGCACCTAAGTGATGCTGGGGGAAAAAGGTCCGGATCCAGAATACTCTCAGCAGCAAACAACAAAAAATTAATCTGGTCACCGACTTGACTCTCAGTTCTAGGCATGCACCAAACTATTTTTTTCCTTAGAGAGGTGTCATTTATCAACATCAACCATGATTATATGCATCCTTTCACTTACAGTAAAGCTATCAGCGACATGTATAAGATTTGTAAAAAACCTTCCCTTTTTTTTTGAGCATGGAGTTCATCCATCAGACACAATTTCAACACCACCGTAACAAACGTCACATGATTTTGACTTTATGGTGCATTGGACTCTCAAAGAGCTACACAAGTCTCGAGACATGGTTCTATGAGCTTCCAAAAAAAATTTGAAAACAGCAATTAATTCCTTGATTCAATCAACTGTCACATATTTAATGGGTTATCTTGAGTTTCATGACAAAAATATAGGACAACGGAATTACAGAGACCAGTCAACGTACCTTAAGAATGGGGCCAACTGTGAAATTGCCCATGATTTGCTCCTTGGAGACCAAGCAGAGAAGAGGGATGAGTGCAAAAGGAATCTGAATTGACTGAAGCATATTTAGCCATTCATTTAGAACATCTAGTGAGCCTTCAGAAGTATCAAAAACAAGTGCAACAATCATAGTCGGGATGATAGCACAGCTTCTAGTGATCAATGCCCTCAACCATTTCTTTAAGCCCAAGTTCAGGAAACCACCCATGATAAACTGCCCTGCATAAGTGCCAGTAATGGTGCTACTTTGGCCAGCTGCTAATAAGCCAATACCCCAAATGTATAAAATAGGGAAAAATCCACCCCCGTATTTGTCATGAAGATATTGCCCTGCATTTACAAGGCCAATACTATTGGCTAGTTCTGTCCCATAGAAACCTTTTGCAAAAACAGTTGTCACAAACAAATTGATCATGAACGATATTACAAGGGCAGTGGTTGACTCTATGGAGTAGTATCTGAGAGCTTCTTGAACCTGGCCTTTCTTATTGTGGTCGATCTCCCTTGACTGTACAAGAGCAGAATGCAAGAACACATTGTGAGGCATGATAACGCAACCCACAACTCCAACAGCCTGTTTTATTGTTTTGGAGCTAAGTTTTGGAATTAAGATGCCTGTAACAGAGAATCCAATTAACTGTCTCCTATATACAAAGTAACAATATAGTTGGACAAATGAAGAGAAACCTGAGAAACTGGAACTTCTAGATTAAAATTTTTGTCATGCAAGACATTACTCACCAAGAAAAAGTTCGGAGGCACTGGGTTTTGCATCACCAAACATCCACGCAAATGTCACTGCCATTGTTCCAATGAGGACCCCAAAAACAGCCTCCAATTTCCTCACACCGTAGTTCTCAAGAAATAGGAAGATAAAGCTGCATTGACACAAGAAACGAAAGGCATCACCAAAATGACCTGAACTTTTCTACTAGCAAATTAATATACATTCTGCTTGATTGCTGTGAAACGGGGCAAAACAAGAGGGGAATTCTTTCTCCAGTCTCCTGGAACCAACAAAAGCTCAACAATTTATGGCATATACAGTGATTTTACATATATTCAACTGCAGAGCCACACCAGTAGTAGATCAATTACTTATCCTCTTAATTTACTGATAGCTTATATGATATACTTAGTCTCTAACACAATATAATCAATGAAAAATCACAGATTTAGTACTTGAAATGTTGAACCCTTCAACTTAAAAAGCCCAAAAAAAAAAAACAAAAATGAATAGATAAAAATTCAAAAACAATTGCAAAAGACAATAAAGCCTGAAACTTCAGATCCCAAAGATGGATAAATGTAACACTCAAAAACCAAAGAATACAAAAAGAATTAGAAACTCCAAATCCAAAAGTCAGCATGATGAACAAAATCCCTTTGTTGAAAAAGAAAAAGAAAAAATAACATACACACAACACGAAAAAGAAATGAGTCAAAAACAATTCAAACAAAATGGTATTCATAAAAAGAATTACCAATCAGAAGCAGTAATAATAACACCAGCCCACAAAGGCAAAACCCCATTACTCAAAATCTGAATAGCAATAGCACTCCCAATAACTTCTTGTATGTCAGCACCAATCAAAGCCAACTCAGCCATAATCCACAAAATCATTCTAGCCCAAGTTGGATACTCTTCTCTACACAGCTCAGCCAAATGCTTCCCAGTAGCCACTCCAAGCCTCGCTGACAGCATCTGCACCAACAAACCCATAGCAGTAGCCCATAAAAGAAGCCAAAGCAAAGAATAGCCTGCAATTGCACCGGCCTGAAGATCCCCTTCCAAATTGCCAGGGTCCAAGAAGGCAATGCACATTAAAAACCCAGGACCAGTAAACAACCATAATTTTCTCCATGAAAACGGTGGCATCACCGTTGACCCACCGCTTTCGGTATCATAATCAATCCCAAATGAAAGGACTTTCTCATCAGAATCATAGGCTGTTTCTTCTTGGTCTTTTAATAAAGGTTGTGGGTCTTCTGGTAAAGGCATCATTTTGTGAGTTAGAAGGGTCTACTGTTAATGTCTGATTTAAGATTGTTCCTTTTTTTCTCTTTTTCCTTCCTTTCTTTTCAAGGATGGAGGAGAAACGGAGACACAGAGAACAGAACCAAAACCATCAGTCCTTTTCCTTCTTCTCTTTTTAATTTTATTCCGTGTTATTTTCAGTCTTGACACAGAAGAAAATATTGGTTGACAACGGTTGTCAGGGAACACTATTGACAACATATCGATCACCTAAAATAATCAAAATATACCTTATTGAAATATAATAAAATAAAATTTAAAAAAAATTTAAAAATAAAACATATAGGTCATATAACTTTAAGTGTTTATTTTTTTTTCATATTTTTATTAAAGGTCATTTCGATTGAAAAAATTCTATGATAGAAAATTTTGATTAAAAAAAAACAAATTAAACATTTCAAAATTTTTTAGAGATAGAAATGATGCAATTAAAAATCTAAGAAAAAATAAGAGATTTTGAGAATTATATAAGAAATATGAATATATTTACCCTTAATATATTACATATATTGCAGTCCTACTAAAAAAAATAATAATAAATAATAAATAAATCAAACAGACAAACTAAATATAAAATTTTATAATCAACCAAAGATATCCAACTATTATTATTATTATTATATAATAATAATAATAATAATAATTGGATATATATAACACTTAATTTCAAACCGCATAAAACTCTCCAACTTTTTCCAACTTTTAGAGACAATCTCAATTAGATCCCAACCTATTTTTAATTCCATTTAGGTTATTAATATATACAAATTGTTAAAAGGGCCAAATCTCTCCTAAACTTTAATCTATTTGAAAATCAATTTCTAAATTTTTAGTTTGTATTTTGATCTCTTTGAACTTTATTTATTTATTTATTATTGTTATTGTTATTATTATAGATTTTGTGTATCCTTCAATTTTTGGTCATTTATCCAAAATAATAATAATAATTAGATATATAGTCTCATGATGAAAAATCATCAAGTGGGATTTATTTGAAATTCTCTAAAAACAAAATTAAGGTTATTTTAGGTTATTTTCTACTTTTTACATTCTTAATGTTCAAAACATTTTTTGATCTAGAAAAAATTTGGAATTCTTTTAGAAAATGAATTGGATTTTTTTTTTTAATCTATGCGCAAAATTTCATACAAGAATATCTAAAATTAATTTTTTTAGAAGAGAAGGGTAATAGTTAAAAAAATCATAAAACAAATTAAATAAAAAATAAATAAAATAAAGCTCGGAAAGGTCAAAATACTAATTAAAAGTTCAAAAACTAATTTTTAAATGAACTAAAATTCAATATTACTTTGACCTTTTTAGCCTTAACAAATTTGTTAAGTAGTCACACAAAAGTCACGTGATTTTTCTTTTTGCTAAAAGAAAAACCCATCAAATTACCTAAGATCTATGTTTTTAAATTATCCGATAGAACATAATTGTTATAAATATCTTCATTCAAATAAATAGAAGACTTTTTAAATACTTAAAGCTTAATCTGTGAGAAGACAAGCAACTACTTCACAATCAAATAAAATGTGGATTTTATCAAAATCGTGAAAACAATATCCAAATAAGTAGGAATTAATAAATCAATCCTATAGAAAAAATGATTGTCCAAATAATGTGTGACACAATAATATTGAATTAAACCATAAGAGCTAAATTGAGATATAAACCATAAAATTTATGGCAGCCATAAAAAACATGAAGGTCCAAGATAGTTTTTAACAATTAAGTTCATGTCACGTAGTAAATATATAACTTTACATTAAGTAATCAATTAGCAAACCTTAAGGCTTATGCTAAATAAACAAAGAAGTTTACATTGAACAATAAATCATAGATATTTACGTAAATAAATTATGAGTAGTTCACATTAATCATAGATCTAGTAAAACTAAAAAGAAAACGTTAAATTGCATGGTAAAAGAAGCAATTAATAAATTGAAACCTTATAGAGAAAGTAGTGAAAAAACCTATAAGGAAAGCTATAAAGAAAGGGATAAATAAATCATGTAAACAATGTGTAAGAAAGAATAAAGGTAAAACATAGGGCTAAAAACACTAAACTTATGACAAGTAAGCCGCGAAAGATAAATTGCGAGAAAAGCTTGCATTGAATTTGTATCATGGGATAGGCTCGAGAAAACTCAATGTGCCAACCTCCTTTAAATACTATTTTATGACTTAAACTTGTGATACAAATTAAGAAATAAAACCAACTACCATTGTCAATAGATCGGACTTGAAACAAATCATGGTAGATCCAGATCGGATTTATTTAATGAAATGAATCACAAATTTTATAAATTCTGATCAAATTTTAATATAAATTCAGATTTAGAGTTTCATTGAATTTATAACTTGATTTTTGTAGAAAATTTATACTTACTACATTTAATATATTAATTGAATATAAAATATATTTCAACCACCACTTAAATAATAAAATACATTAAGATAATATTTCATCTATCAATTTTGTAAAAAGTTTAAAATACCATATAATTTAAAAATAGAAAATCAAATAATTTTAATAAAAGTTTGTCTTGAACTAGGTATGAAGTACGATAAAACTAAAAGAAATAAATAATAAATAATTTTTTTGTCTTATCTATATGGTAGCAAAATAAATATTTGTTAATTCAAATTCTAATATGATAATACTACACATCAAGGCTCGTAAAGAAAGAGAAGAAAAGAAAATATATTAATATTATCATATATTTTTATAATTGGTTAATGCATAAAAAATAGAAATATAATGAGCTAAGTAAATGAAATACAATAGTTTTTGTTGATTTGATTTGGAAGCCAATCACTTGTAGTATATATTACCTCCACAATCTTTAGAAGTAAAAATACATAATAATCATTAATAACTATATCTTTTGTATTGAATGTAGCTTCATAAGCAGCTATGACGAGTAGTTCTTCGAAACACCTAGAACATCACGATTAATTTTTACAAAGATAAAAAATGTATCACAATTGGGTTTTTATCATCTCGGAACATTAAACTTTTTTGTTATATGACATATTGGTCGCTCCAAGTACTATTTTAGTTTTGAATTCTTTGGAGCATAAGGATTAGAAGATCGAATTTGTATATACCATTGATCAAAATAACTCAATCGATCATCTCCAAAAATCACCAAAGTGCTATTATTATCTAACATATCTTCTAAAGATTTCAACTTTATATTAAATAAACTTTAAATTTCAACCTAGTTTCATGTTTATATATTTTTTTATATTTAAATTTTTAACTATTATATTTATTATAATATTATTATTTTGAATTTTAGATTAGATTATTATTGAATCGAATCAAGATGAATTTGAATTGGATCCAAACGAAATTAATGAATTCGAATCATAATCAATTAACAAAAAATGGCATTTAGCAATAGTTTCAACCGTCGCTAAATACCAAAAACCTATCGCTAATATTTTTTAGTGATGGTTTAAAACCGTTCGAAAATCCCTTGTTGTTAAGTCATTAGCAATGTTTTTTTTTTAGTACCGTCGCTATAAAAACCATCGCTAAAACACCTCAAAACCATCACTAAATTTAGAAAATTCAATGACTTTTTTTTTAATTTGTCACTAAATCCATCTCAAATTAGCGACAGTTTGGTCAAAGCATTGCAAATTCCATCACTAAATTTGGAAAATTTAGCATCCATTTTTTTAAACCGTCTCTAAAACTATCCCTAATTAGTGACAATTTTGTTAAAGTGTCATTAAAACCATCGTAAAAATATTTACAATTTAGCGATGGTTTGTTGAATCCATCATTAAATCCATCTCTAATTAATGATAGATTTAGCGACTAGTTTATTATAACCATCACTAAATTATATTTTAGCGATGGATATAAATCATCATTAAATCTGTTCAATTTTTTATTTCATTGCTAAGAAGAAAAATTAAATCTATTCCAATTTAGCAATTACAAAAATGCTATAAAACATATTTATAAATATTACAAAACCATTATAATATATAAATTTTAATAATATATATATATATTCAAACATCAAATTATTTTAAAAAATTTAATTTTTTTAGAAAGAAAACATAAAAGCTAGGAGCAATCGATATGGTTATCGGTCGGAGGATCGATGGAATCGTTAGTCGAAAGATCGATGGATGAACTACCTCTCGACATATTCGAGCAACATCTATCGCATCATCGCATACTACTCCCGAGTATACTATTGTAACTCATTTGTAGTAGCTAAGAGTGATCTAACGAGTACCCTTTAGTTTCTCAATCTTTTCTACTTAACTAGAGTGATGAGCCTCTGTTTTCTTTCATTGTGCCTCAATATCGACATGGAATCGCAACGTGATAGAACTAGAGGATGTACCGACATTAGAGTAATAGTGAGAGGCTCGTGACCTAAGTCCGTATATCCTCTTCCTCTTATTATCTCCTCCTCCTCCAATAGCTTTTTTAAAAATCTCGTTCATGTCGATGTCGGACAATAAAGCACCCTCTCGCTTGTTGGCTAACAACCTCCTCCTCAAATATTTTTTGACGATCTCCAACATAATTACACAAATTTTAATATTAAATAGCTATCTCAATAAGTTATATAAAAGTAACATACGTATGAAATAACCTTATAAATTAATTACTTACTCTAAGAATTCTTGCATGTTGATCGATGAATACGTACTAATCATTAACCTTCTTCTTGTGAGTCCTAAAAAAAACCTTATGAGTATCAAGTTCACGACCCAACTCATTATGCTAAAACAAGTATACTTAAATGTTTAATGATGTTAAAATAATTATAAATAACAAACATATATATATATATATATATATATATATATATATATATATATATATATATATATATATATATATATATATATATATATATATATATATAGTATGTATGTATGTATGTATAATACGATTTACCATGTGTATTGTATGCTTCTTGTGA